TCCTACATTTTTATTTGTTGTCCGACGCATTACAATCAACACAAAGCATGGAATGCCATGATTTTCGCCTTTACGGTTGAAACGGTTATTTGCATAAATAGCAGTCATATTTCGCTATATATAAAGCATATTACTTTAAAATTAATACTTTTGAGGGCTGGTAACTGGTTTTTGCGTCGGCTGGGTTACAATTTAGATATAAGACAGCAGGTACTGAGTTTCGCGCGAAATTCATCCGTCCATCTGGCTAATTAGCATTTTGGCACCTTAGCTGGAATGACTTCGTAATTAGAACCCCGAATCCAGTTCCCAACCTTAACCATCAACTGTCAATCATAGTTCTAGTTTCTCACACCGTTTAGAAACAGTCATTTGGTACTAGCTAGTATGTGGATATTTTCAAGGTCACCTAAATGTCGCTCAAGAGCCAGCCATAAATTATAGTTTCGCTTTTGCTTTTCGTGAAACGATCCTGCTGCAGCAAACTGTTTACACTTATAATAGCAAAACAACCCAATTTAACTTAGATGTTACTAAAACACAAATGCTTTTATGTTCTACAAAAAACCGCTAATAATAATGATAAACCAGGTCCTGTGTAATTGCGAAGAATATTGAATTAAGTTTAAAAAAGGAAAGGAAGAAAATAAGGGAATAGAAATAAAGGGGACGTGAAATATGCAAATCGTTTAATAGGCTTGTTTATGAACACAGAACAATAATAAACGACTATGTATGTATCGTCAAAGTAGTAGCAAAAACAAAATAGAAATCAATTAAGAAAGAATAATTTATTATTGCAGTAAGATACGACGCTAGAATAAATGTTTGTGCAGTCATAGTTTGGAGTGATATTATGAAAGTCTCAATTAAATGAAAAGGATAACAAAACATTAATATGTATGAGTCATATATGTATAGTGAAGTTAAAACGAGTCTAAAAAATTAATTTAGGTGTAATGCAAGTTATTGTCTTAATTACAAACTTCGTAATCTTAAGAATTATATTTATTTAGATGGAAAAAAGAGAGAGAGAGAAAAATGAATATCTAATGAAAGGGCTAAACTATGATAATAATAGTAATTTTGTAATGAATATCGACCTTCAAAGTAAACCAACAATTTAGAAGAGTAAAATGAAAATCCTTCGGTGCACTCGGATAAACACATGTAGATTTATGTAATAGTATACAGAGTGAGACCGGATATTAGTATAAACATTCGTGCATTAATAATTAGGAATAATGTTATGAAAGTCACGATTAATTTCAAATGATAATGAAATATAAAATTCTATGTGTTATATTTATGTGGTGATGATAAAATAAATCTGAGAAGTTAATCTATTTTTCTTTTAGTTATGGACTGTAGATGTTTAAGAACAATATATGTTTAGAAGGATATAAAGAGACAAAAAGAATATTTTATATGTCAAGGTACCGATAATGATATTAATAACAGTAATAATTATAGATATGAACATAAGTAGACTTCATGTATCAAGATGAACAGAAAGAAAATAAGGTAAAATAGACGTTAAAAGTTTCAAGGTTTACATTTTGTTTTTCGGTCAATCAGATGGATGACGAACCTTGTTTGCATAAATCATTATTAAACACACTGATATTCGATAGATGACACAATCCACTTTCGGAAAGAAAATCATCAAGGAGACTTCTGAACCGGGTTGTAGTTTCACTGAAACGGAGGTTCGCCGGCAGTCTGTTCCACCTGGTTGAGTAGTCACTAGGGAAAAAATTATGACGTAAGTTTGTGTGGGTTCTTGGAATCGCTAGAATATTCTCCTTATTGCGTAGATTGTGGGATGATATTATAAAGTATGAAGGGGTGGATACCGATGAGTAGGAAGTACCGTTAATGAGCCGGTAGATAAAGACAAGATTTAATTTGATACATCTGATCCAAAGAGGTTCTAAGTTGAGTTGTTGACATCTTTGTTATCGGAACACCCCAGAACAGCTTTGGTGAACTTTCTTTGAACACCTTCAATTCTAATCAGATCATTATGTCTACAATTACTGTAAACTAAAACACCATATTCAAGAATGGGTAAGATACATTTTCTGTATAGTAACAATCTCGATTCGATATTATTGAAGTTTATCATTATTAATCCGATGAGCTTTCTAGCTTTGGATACTTCAGATATAATGTGTTCAGAAAAGTTCAGACTGTTGCTATATCTTAAACCCAGGTCACGAACAGTGTTGAGAGGTTTGAGTGTATGTGTCTATACAGTCAGATTTAAGTTAAGACAGCGACCAATGTGAATAAATCCACTTTTGTCAACATTAAGTGGCATATTCCACGGAATAGTCCATTCGTATAACTTGTTTATTTCCTCTTGGATTACCGCTGAAATATAGCTTTCTTTCGTGGGAGAAGAGAATGAATAAACTACTTTCAGGTCATCAGCAAAAAGGAAAGGCTTACCATACTGAAAGAGGGAACACACATCATTGATAAAAAGGAGAAAAAGTAATGGACCAACCACACTTCCTTGTATAACCCCACTGGTTACTTTCACAGGTTTAGAGTAGCAAGATCCAAAGCGAACGATTTGGCTACGTTCTTCTAAAAAAGATTTGAGCCAAGATAAAAGGGGATTCTGTATGCTAAATGAAGAGAGTTTTAAAAGAAGAAGTTTGTGTGAGACACTGTCAAAAGCCTTACTAAAATCGAAGTAAAGAATTATCACTGACTGACCAACATCTCTTCTCTGGGTAATTTGATCAAAAACCTCCAGATGCCATGTGAATTATGAGCGTTTAGTCATGAACCCATGTTGGGATGGGCTGATCAGACTAGCCGAAAGTAAAAATGATAGTAGCTGTTTGTGGATGATTTTTCCCGTGGTTCTTGAGAGCACGGATGTCAAATTAATTGGCCTATAGATAACAATATCAATACGTGGTCCTGTTTTGAATCTAGGGGTGATAAGGGATGTTTTCCATACAGATGGATAGGTCCCATATTCCATAGATAGATTGAAAAGTTTCAAACAAAATTGTGGAAATTCTCTACTTCCATATTTCACATATGATGAAGGTATCCCGTCAGGTCCACCATCATAAGACATTCTCAGGGCAGTTATGGCCTGCTTGATGTTGGAGGGTATAAAATCAATTTTCGTTAAGTGTCTAGATGTCAGCATTGGCAATGTAATGATAGAGCTTTCAGTTCCAGTTTTGTAGCATTGCGAGAAGTGCTTGCTGAATTGTTCGCAGATAGTATTCGGGTCGTCAACAATGCTTCCGTTAACTATGAAGAATTTAGTCGTGCCAAGGGAGTTTGACTTCATACGGGACTTAAAAAGCCGAAGTATTGATAATTCTGGGCTTTTAGTACGTAGGGTTTTATTTTCTATATTCATAAAATACTTACGTTTAGATGAAGCATTTCTGTAGATTAATTTAAGTATGCTCTGAAGTGCATACTTGTCATTGTGCTCGTAGTAGCTGCATTTTAATTTCTTCAGCTTTCTTTTAAAAGTTTTAAAAGTATTCTGGCCCCTATTAGCATTATAAGCCACACAGGTTTGTTGATCAAATCGTCTGCTCTAGTACATCACTGAAGCTTTAGAGTTCAATTGTATGGCGTTTAAAGAGTGAACAATACTCAACACAACTCTATGGTCACTCATAAAAAACTCATGACTGCTATGCACTGAGATATTATTCCCCCTCGCCGGTTTTCGGACCTGTTGAATCCATCCACAAATTTCTAGAGTTCGAACTAGCTTGTTATATCAACTCGGTACCGGAGTCGAACCCCATGATGAGTTTAGGGGTATTTGGTTGGTGCGAAGCAATGGAAAAGATGTTTGTTAGTAATCTGTCAAACTTAGTATCCGCATGAGGTGGTTTGTATATGCATCCCACCAGTAGATAATTTTGAGATCCTCAGTTTACAGTAACTTAAGTGGAATCGTCTATAGCATCAAGAGATTTATCATCAAATTTGCACGCCTGAATGTCTGAACATAGGTAATTGTACCCCCTTTTATCCATAACATCTATCGGTTCTAAAGAAAACCTAGTTATCTTTATTCAAGAAGTGATCGGATATAGATGAATTATACTACGCTTCCGTATTAAGTACAGTGGTTGGATTTACAAGGAGTAAAAGGGTTTTAAGGTGAGTAATGTTGTTAGAGAGAGAGCAGGCATTGAACGAAAGAATAGGAAACTGAGAGTTTTCATGGTGAAGCAGGTTAGAGTATAAATTGCAATTGGTAGTTCCATGAATACTCATAGGATTAGCTAAGGTAAGAGTCGTGTTGCGAGGGGAAATAGATTCAAAGACTATGTCATCATGTGAAATATGTTTACCGTTGCCGGCAGAAAAGCCGGCGGAATTACAAAAAAAGTCTTCTCAATTCTATTGGATATGATATCTGATAAAGACATAGTGTACATATTTAGAGACGGACCAAGAAAAGTATCAGGTCTATGTGTGCAACCAAGTGGCCATTTACAATTCAGATTAGCATTTATACCTGACGTATGAGTAACCTGTTCCAGACGTTTATTTCCAAGGTGTGTGGTTAATTTTGGCTCCTTCGTATATTGGAGCGAATCGTGTGCTGTTAAACATACTTGCGATGGTTTTCAAAGTTCGAATATATCGACGTTAATTGTGTGGTCAGTTATTAAATGTTATGATTAGTTTTCCTGTTATCCGTTGCACAGTTACTGTAACTGGGTGCTACACCAACAGTGATTCGGACTGTGTTATCCCATTCGTCATCAGCACAACTATATTTGGTTGAATCTAAGTCAACATTTTTAAGAGGATGAACAGGGCCTACATCGAGAATACTTTCTTCTGGGGTTTTAACTTTAGGAGATTCAGAAGTTTTTTGGTGGCGGCATACTTGTAGAGCTAGAGGACTTCTTAGAAATGGATTTGATTTCACGACCATTAGGATTATGGTGCGTTAATTTTCCTCGAAAAAGTATTATCTATTCTTTCTCTTCTTAAGAGTTTAGAAAGAAACTAAATGTAACATAATGTTCTTGTTTATTGAAAGCTAGTTTATATGTATTCATACTGATGGATCTATTCTAATTCCATATAATATTTTTAGCAATGGTTTCACTTTTTTCGACTTACCGTCGGTCCTCTTGGTCCAACTATTCCACTAGGTCCTATTGGTCCCGCGTGTCCAGGTGTTCCACTTGCTCCCGGTAGACCTACTGACCCGATCGGTCCTGATCCTCCCTTAATTCCAGGTACTCCACTCATTCCATGTGCACCATTTTCACTTCTAGCATCAGAAGCCCCATCAAGACCAGGACGTCCTAGTGGTCCTGGAGGACCTGAAAGTCCTTGCACACCCGATGCTACAGGTTCTCCAGGGCTACCGCTGAGCACAGATTGTCCATCTAATCCTGGACTTCCAGGGCTTCCAGCCATGCCAAGTTCTCCTTGTGCACCCTTGGGAATAGAGGAAACAGATTCTGTTATTAATTAAATTTTATTATAACATAACTTGTATTATCACTTGAGTTTTTCGAATTCTAAAGAGAAAAGTATTTAGCTTCACAAAACAAAACCTCTAGAGCTGACAAGCTTGTATTTATAGATGGTATTGAATTATCAAATCAGAACATCTATCAAAAGATGTTGATCAAATCTAGTCTTGGATATTAACAAAAAGACAATATAAAACTTTTCAAAATTAGCAAAGTTTTAACTTTTAAATGGTAGAAACTGGATATAATCTTATTTTGTTTGTATAAAGTAATGGCTGTTATATATGTACCTAGCCGTACAATTCTGAATTCAATTTAATGCATTCAAATGTATATGCTGTGCTCTCTATCTTCACTCTTGATCCACTAGTCATAATTGGGGTAATTACTGGCTGGATTTGGAAATTTATTAGTTCGCATACTACATTTAACAATTGTAATACGATTTCAAAATATTTTGAATCCATAATATGGTGAATTGTATGAATTGCTTTGTCATTAGAAAATGTAGTAATTAGAGACTCGAAAAATATTCTGCAAGGTTGGGGTTGATGAGATATTTAAGCGGATAGAGAATGTTAATGTCAACTTGCAATTTTTTTATAGCACCCATATGGTTGCATTTGCGATTATTATCACTGTTTACCAACAGAGTCTTAAACATGTCTGGGATGGAGACACTTGGTAAAAGCTTGTCTTTTTCCGAATGAACAGAGTAGCTCGTATCGTTGAAACTGTCAGAAATTGTGTCAGTAGTAATGTTAGATTGTGTCGTTTTCCTACATTTGACTGGACGCCTAGAGGCAGGGGTCTTCATTTTCTTTTGTGGCATGATAAGAAAGTGACGTGTACCAGATGGATTGAACGAAATGTTGGAAATAGAAATGGGTGAAAAATCAATTCCGAGGGCTCAAGGTGGTCTGGAAATCAAAACCTATGTTTTAACCAAGAGTGAATGTATCGTGAGGATTAGTGGTGTCGAAAACAAAAGATGAGAATGGCAGGAAGATGGTAGTGGAGATGTAGTATTTATGTCAGTATCTGTGTGGAGGCAAAATAGAACACAAAGGAGCACGCTGTGTAAATTTTAACATATATATTACGCGAAAGATAGCCTCATATAATACAGTAATTTAGAAAAGTCGATGAGTAGTATCAAACAATCAACGTGAGTACGGTATGTGATACATATATAAACCGAAAGTCCGCATTAGTAAAAATTGGGAGGTGCAGAGATAAGTAGTTCAAAAGATTATTACTGTCTAAAATTATTATGCTGCTTTATGAACAAATATACGAAACAGCTTTTTGGATAAAAATATTGTCAAAAAACTATGACAGACTCACTGGATTGGACAGGTAATTTCGGAAATTATATGAGTTATAGTATCCAAATACGATTTAAATGACAGTTCGTAAAATAGTGAGTACATTGCTTTAACATACACGATTATATATTTTTCTTGATGTTAGACAGAGGTCTGAATAGATTATGTAAATACATAAAGTACGTGGGTTATAGCATCCAAACACGATAACTATATATTCCTTAAAAAATAGAATACAGGTATGAAACGCAATTCTTCGTCGAATATGATTATATATGAATTTAAAAATGACAGGGTGTGGTTTGGTCGTATAGCCAAAATGAATAAATGCAATTATATGGTTATGAATTATTGTATGAATATGATCATAAATACCATGAATGAGTTAAACTCAGGTCTTGCCAAATAGCATGAAATTCACAGTTTATATGTTAATAGTTCAGAATTGAGTTAGGTTCCATAATTCCAAGAAAAGATAATCCATCCAGCACTGCGAGAATCCTAGAAAAAATAAAACTGAAGGTCTCGGCCTGAAAGTAACTGAAAAGGCTTTCTACAAGTCCGCCGTTTAGATTGTCAGAAGTTTCAAAGGAGGCTACAAGCTAAGTTCTGCTTAAGTTCTATAACGTCATTCAACGTGTGCCACTGGAATTACTCATGAAGTCTGAGGTAGTTGCATATCAACCACTCAGTGTTAACAGTTACATGGTTAATGCTATTGAAAAGCAAATCAATACTTATATTCATAGATTTCAGCTTCGATTGGAGTTGTTTACTCACTATTTGTCGTATGTGTTTAGGTCATTGGATAGTCTTTTGTGACAAATTTCATTTATTACGAAAGGTTAATCTAATATTGTTAAAAGAAATACTCGAACGTAAAACCTAAAGGCTTATAATAATAATTTGTTCTCAAATAACAGTCTGTTGCAAAAGGCTTGCCATTTTACAGGTAACATCAAATCGTTACAGAGGATACAGGCTTCACTGTGGTGAGTTGTTCAGTTGGTTTGGTATTTCATAATGTACATTGATCATAAAGGTGTGGGGGACAATACTTCTCACATATAAATGTAACTAATATTAGTAAGATCCTTGTTATATTCGCACTAGAAAGCCAAGAGTAAAACAATGTGGTTATCGAGGAGTGGAACATGAATTAGTTTTTTCAGTGCCAAAGCGGCCAAATTAGTCCCTGAGCCCTGCTTCGAAAAGTTCAGTAAGGGGTGCTTTCACTATAACTTCCTGTAGGGAGTCCCGTAAGTAACTGGTTGGAACTCGTAAAGAAAGATTGGGAACAGAAGTGCTGTATATACGGGCGAAAAAACAGTATGAACCGACAGGATGGTATTCAACTAGCGACTACCTGGCAAATTTTCGTGTGACAGTTAATTTGAACCTTCTCTTTAGTCAACCTGTTTATTTCAGATGCAAAGTTATTTTTGACTGAATTCAATGAGTTTTTAGAAATACAATTATGTATTTGTTTGATTCCTAAATTAAACATGCACATAGATGATTAATTAACAATTTTTCAACCTTGAACTTGGACTTTTATTTATTTCTTCCTTGATATATATCATATTAACACCGAATATCAATGATTGATTCGCACACATACATAAATACTCACACACATACAATTTGTTATTCAGTCGACTATTTCCATGTAGTTGAATTTTTCACATGATTTGTAGGTAACTGACTGATTTTATCCTATTTTACAAAGATCAACATCCAAATTGGGTTGGCTTAACACAGTATAGTTTTGATTGTTAAAAAGTTATACATTTCTGTGGCGATTTTGATTTCGATTATTACCCTGAAGACGTCCGGACAAGTTAGCTGGACGAAACGTTGAAATTCTTTAAATTTCAATCGCTGAGATTATTTCAAATACAATTTTCACATATATAAGCAGTATAATTCATCATTATCATACCAACCACAGTTCTTCTGTGCTGTTCTGACTTTAAGATAAGGGTCTCCAGGTAAGCTGTCTAGGGTAACTTTGTATTCCGAATGCTTCTTCAGCTTGTCTTCTCGGAACGTGTTTCAAGAAAGCTATATTCCTCTTGATGTAAAGAGACAACTCGAAAATCGCTTTAAAGATGGAATAATATGAGTCGGATTATTAACTGTCCTGGTGAGAAACTCTAAGAATGAGTGCGCTTTATTATCCAAAGAGTGACAGTGAAAAGAGACACGTTGGGTAACACAAACAGTGGCATTCAGGTCTCTTTCAGAGACAGAGTGTGTGATACTATAGGAAAAGTGTGGTAACTGTGATTCTCAGTCAAATCATCTTCATTGCTGAATGGGTGCACTAGAGGTCGGACGGTTGATTTAAAAATAGTGGATCCCTCTAAAGGCGAGTTCAAAAACATTGTGGAGACTCCATAGCTTGGAGATGCCGATGTCGTCATTCCAAGTGACCCTTTCACCCCTACACTTAATATATTATTTTGCTGAACTGATTGTACTCATTATCAAAAGGTTCTTATAAAGCAACATTCCTGGCTGGCATGATAGGGGCAGTCAATATGGACGATCACTTGACTTCGAATTGAAGTTGTGTATATTAAGTATTCACATTAAGGCCAGTCAGCTACACTGTATTAGATCTATTAGTATTTTACAATAAATGGGTTAACTAAAACCATCATAAACTTAAACAACGATAGTGCTGTTATCTCACATGACGTAGATGATGGCTGTAGAGTTATTGGATTATAGTCCTGCTCGATATTAGTACATTTATTTTTGCTATTGTAATAATAGACTTAATCTCAAAATTAGACTTATCATGATGTGACCATCCAATCCACAAGAACCTAATCGAGTCACCTCGTTGACTGTACTGTCTCATCCGATAGCGGCAACCAGCAGTATGATGTCTAGCACTTCTGAAGAATAAATTTGTGCTGAGAAGAGAGTATTCGATGCAAAAACAAGAGGTGTAATCATGCCTCTATGTCTTTATCTTGCCAACGCTCCGTCCAATCCTTTCATCTGCCTTGGAGAAGTACAGGAGGTTGATATACACTGGATGGTTATGCTTCGGTTAGGTAATCCATACAGTATAAGTCATCAGGATATCTTCCTTGCAGGTTCCACAAGGTAGAAAGTCACATTCTGGTTTCAAAAAGGGAACTGATAGGAAGATAGTTACGAAGAGACTCTTTGTTAGCATTTCCAAATGACCTTCTCTACTGCGAAGAGCATCTTCCTTTTCTGGTCAGGAGGTGATTTAACCTCGACTAAGCAGCATTTGAAGAGAGTAGAAAAAGGTGAGCAAAACCGATTTGGGTAACTCTGCACGAATTTGGATCGGATACCATCTGAGCCAGTAGATGTGTAGAATTATGTTCTACTGTGATATTAATAAAAATCCTAAAATTATAGATTTGTCATGACGTAGCTACCGAATCTATGAGATCCCACGTGGGTGTCACATCATCATCTACCATCACTAATTTGCATTGTAAGAATCATCAATATATGATGAAGGCTGGAGATAGAACAATATATTTAATGTAGACAAGACTTTACATAAGTAAGATCACGCCTGCAAACCGAGCAACGCCATTCGACCAACTCAAAACAGATTGAA